GGGGACACACACACAATCGCCGTAATGAAGCCGAGGGAGGGGGGAGACCCCGAATGCCGACTCAGCCGAAGACCAAGAAGCCGCGTCCCCCCCTCGGAGCTGGGCCCCAGCAATGACAAGACCCTGTGTGTTGGCATCGCCACGAGGCGCGTTGGGAACCAGTGAGGGACAGGGCGATAAGAAACCCCCCGGTCACTCCCGCCCCGGTGTCTGCGTGTGCTCCCAAGGGCAGAAATCCAGGGGGGCTCTTTGGGGCGGGGCGCTGCCCGGGGGGAATTACCACCAGCCCCCGGCTCTGCGCCGACTCGGCAGAAATAAATCCCTCTGCTCGGGGGATCGCTGGATCCCACCAGGACGCACAAAAGCCACCGCCTGAGTTCAGCCACACAGGTTGGAGTCATGTCTTCATTAACGGTACACACGCTTAACGAAGGGAGAGATGAGCAGGGAGAGAGAAACATACTGGGAGCAAACGGAGTAAAACACCACCCGGGGTCACAGCTTGTGCCACACAACCAACACCCCCAACGCGTCGTACTGGCTTGCGGAGGTAAGACTCTACAACCGTGGAGTTACAAAGTAGGGATGTTTATCCAGCACCAGGCGCACGGCGGATCGCTCCACCACAAGCACTTGTGCCATTCGCAGTTCCCGTCCGGCTTATATATTACAAAACAATGCATATTCATCGAACACCTATACATATACATAGCCTATCTCCTTTCCCCTCGCTCCTCATGGCGATCAGGTCTCCTCCCCTTGCGTCTGGGTCATGAGCTCTTCAAGTTCCGGGCCGGGGTCGTAAAGATGAAGCACCTCTTCTTCCTCGCTGATGAACTTTTCACCCCGTCGCTCTGCGCAGCCTCAGTTGTTCTCTGGCTTCTGACCAAAGTGCCAGACCAGTTTGTGCCGGAATTTGGGGCAGAGGAGGCTTCTCTTTGAGCTAGGAGATAGTAGCCTAGCAACGTTATCAGCACCTGGTATGTCTTTGCGAACAGCCCCACGCTTTGCGCAAGTTCCCCAGTCTTGCACCATCAATCTAAGGTTGTTTAGACTCCCCGTCTCATTCCCTCCTTTTCTTCCTCCTTAGCAAATCCTTTTACTACTTATCTATCTACTCAATCTATTCCCCTGCCCCCATAATACCTTAGTACAATCCTACAGATTCCTTAGTTTATTGCGTAAAGCTCGGATTGCGATACAAAGCGTCATACGGAGCTTGCAAGCGTTTTGCAAGTCCCCAGATCCATACATACGCAGCTACAGTAAGGATCAACAAGATTGCTACAGACAATAATAAAACAACCACCGGGTGAAGGGCTGTGTTTAAGATTCCTGTAGTTGTCGGCGACCCTCCGAGGAGCGTATCCCACCAATTATGTTTCGCTTCCTGCTCAACCCTCTTTAAGACTTTTTTTTTTTTTTTTATTTTAATCTTTTTCCTGTCATGAAGGGTTGTGAGTAAAGTTTCTTGCCCCTTTTCCTTGACTTCTTCCAGTATCCGGTGTAAGTCTGGGTGTTTTAACAGGCTTTCGACATGACTGACATTTAACCCTATGGGGACGGGGAGTAGCGTTACCCTGAGGCTGCTTTTCAAGAGGGAACGTGTAACCACCGGGGCAGGATAAGTGAAATCGCACCCCAGGATGATGGTGAAATTACAAATACAATAATTTAGACGCTGTATCAATTTCTTCTCTCGCCCATCTATGGTTATTGTGTCACACGGTGTCCTTAAACATGCACATCCCTTTCCGGTGTAGACAACAATGGTTTTCAGATCTACGTTGGGGCGTGCTTCAAAGCGGCAGATCTTTTGGTCAGTACCTAAGCAGGTATCCTGGGTTAGTAAGGTATTACTTTCACAAATAAATCCCTGCTGTTCGTTCAAGATACAGGGTCCCAGATCTACTGCTCGCCATTTATTACCGGTATTCATCGCCCAGGTCTTATGTTCAAAGGGGTACAGCAGGGTCCCGTTGTAATTGACTCCGAGACTTACAATGGGGTGTATGGTGATTCATTTTGCATCATGTATTGTCAACACAAAAGTCGTTACTGTATGCGTGTCAGGCCTATTGGTGAAGTTGACCGTGTTCCACCATGACTGTAACTTTGTCTCTGTGGCACTATCCCAAATTATTTTTCGAATTTCAATGGGAAGTGTACCCTCCTCTCCTTCCCTTATTACAGATTCTGCTACTGTTTGCATCCATAACTGGGCTTGGGTGCAACTTAGAGCTATGGCGACATCACCTTGAAACGCTCCCAGGGTTTTCAGCAATAAGCACGTGATCTTTTGTTTCGTTTTGCTCCCAACCTGGCACTACTTTTGACATTGCCCACTGACGTCCCCCCAATGCTGACAGTGAAGAGCCCAATGGCCGTTGTAATTTTGATATATCCCTTGCAGTAGCTGCTAATTTGGTCATTATTACTTCTGAATCTATTGAATTCAACACTCCCAATCCTGTTCCTCATACTCCGGTTAGGTCTCTCTGCGATCGTTTCCGGTAGGTATTGCCCTTTTTCCTTAGCCAAGTCGTCCTGGTCCGTTTCCCTTTCGAATCTGGCCTACTTCTAGAGTGGGGGTACTCTTAGGATTACTCTGGAGGCAAAGGTCACGCTGTTGTCACCTGTCTTACTATGGCATACAGATTTCTAGCTCTGATACTCTTGACCAAATACCGGTATAGGGCCTCCACTCCCCAGTGCCCTCTCCTGTGTTCCTCCCATGCCAGGTGTCTGGCTAAACAAGAGGGAATTACCTTCCCTTGGGGAGCGACGGCCCAACCTTCTTCATTACATGATCCTTTCAGGTCTGTAATTAACTTTTGATCCTCTTTAGTGTAATTAGGCCTACCTTCTGGGATGATTTGCCCATCAGGAACTAAAGCTCCCTCCATTTTTACCTCTCTTTTGGCTGCTTGTTTTGCCTCTCTGTCCGCCAGTTCATTTCCTTTTCCCAAAGCCGAATTCACTTTTTGGTGGGTCTTAATCCGCGTGACTGACACTTTCCTTGGGGACTGGACAGCTTCCAGTGGCCTCAGAATTTCCTTCCCGTGTTCGATGCATTTCTGCCTTTTGTGCAGATGTATTCGCGGGCAGCGGTCCTGATTCCAGTATCTCCTGGGGGGTGGTGACAGCACACCCAGCATACCTCTTGCCGCTCAGGACATAGCTGCTCCCATCTGTAAACCCGTTCTCGGTATCTTCCATAGGGTTGTCCTTCAGGTCTGTGCGGCTTGAGTATGTTGCCTCGATGGTCTCCAGGCATGTTGCACTGGTTCCCCTGTGTTTCCACTCAGGAAAGAACCTGGGTTGATAATCTTAGTGACTACAATCTCCACGTCATCCTGTTCCACTAATTCCGCCTGATATTTTAGGAATCATTGGGGCGAAAGCCAATGTCCCCCTTGAATTTCCAATACCGCAGACACCATGTGAGATACAAATACAGTCATTTTCTGGCCTAAGGTGAATTTTCGTGCCTCCTGGACGTTTAAGATCACCGCTGCAACCGCTCGTAGGCATCCGGGCCAACCTTTAGCGGTTGTATCTAGTTGCTTGGAGAAATAGGCGACTGCCCGATGATACGGACCTAAGTCTTATGCCGGCATTCCCGATGTTTCTCGTGTGAAAAGAGAAAGAATGGTTTACTCACGTCTGGGAGTCCCAAGGCCGGGGCTGACATCAGGGCCTCTTTTAACAGGTCAAAGCCTTGCATGGCCTCCTTATTCCATTGGAGATCTTTCCGTTGAGTGGCGGTTAGTGCGTATAAAGGTTTAACCAATCCGTAATTATAAATCCACAGTCGGCACCACCCAGTCATTCCCAGGACCGTTGGCAGTTCTTTCACTGTCTGTGGCCTCGGAGTCTGACCAATCGCCTCCTTCCGAGCTCAAGGTTCTCTTTCCAGCACTGATTTCGTAGCCCGGACAGATCACTTCACTCTGCACCACTTGGGCTTTCTTTTTAGATACCCGGTAGCCCTGAAGTCCCAGAAAATTTAAAAGGCTTACCGTCCAGGTCACGCTGGCCTCTTTTTGTCTTGGTGGAGATTAAGACGTCGTCTACATGCTGCAGCTTTCCCTCTACAGGTGGAGCTGGGGTTTCCCATAGTTCAAGGTCTTTGGCTAATTGGTTACGAAAAACAGTGGGGCTGTTTTTAACTCCTTGTGGCAGCACCGTCCAGGTCAGCTGGGTTTTAAGTCCACTCTTGGGATTTTCCCGTTCAAATGCAAATAGTTTCTGACCGGCTTCGAGGAGAGAGAGGCAAACGAAAGCATCCTTGAGGTCTAAACCAGTAAAGCAGGTTAGCTCGGGAGTTAATTTTGCTCTCAGATCCTGAACTATCCTGTATGACCCGTCGGGTTTCCAGACAGGTAATATGGGAGTATTAAAATTAGATTTACACTCCTTTAATAATTCTATTTGCAGAAACTTTTCTGTAACTGGCTGGATCCCTTCCTGATCCTCCTTTTTTTTTTTTTAAAGGGTATTGCTTAATTCTTACTGGCTGTTGTCTTTCCTTAAGTTCTACCTCTACAGGTGAAGCATTCTTCGCCCTCCCAGGCATGTCAGCGGCCCACACTCCGGGATACACTTGATCGATAATTTCCTCACCGATTTTTCCTCCTGTGGGGATACTAGTTAGGGACAAGCTCATGATTTGTAGAAGTTCTTGGTTATTTACCTCCAGAGTAATCTCTCCGTCGTTCAAGGTAACGGTTGCTCCTAATGGTTCTAGTAAGTCTCTCCCTAGGAGCGCTTTCGTGGAGTGAGGCATGTACAGAAACTTGTGTAACTGCTTTCCCAGTTTATATTTCAAAGGTTTGCAAAAATACGCCTTTTCACTTTGGCGAGTAGCTCCCACCACCACAATATAGTCTTAATTTCTCTCTTATAATCCGTTTCCAGGGCAAGCACTAAAGGATCTTGTGG